AGTCCTACTTTAATCACAACACACTCACTAAATGATGTGTCTTTAATTCATCACAATTTATTATTATTAAATTTTTATATTAATTACAGTTTATTTACTTTGTATCCCAGCTGTAGCCCCCTTCCTCATTCCCTCCCAATCCTATCATCTCTCCCTCATCTCCTCCCTTCCCCTCTCTAAGTCCACTGATAAGGGACATCCTCCTCCCTTTCCATCTGACCTTAGCTTATCAGGTCTCATAAGGACTGTCTGCAATATCCTCCTCTTTGGCCTAGCAAGGCTGCTCCTCCCTCGGGGGTGGGGAAGTCAAAGAACCAGCCATTGAGTTCAGGTCAGAGACAGTTCCTGTTCCCATTACTAGGAAACCCACTTGGATACTGAGCTGCAATGGGCTCCGTCTGAGCAGGGGTTCTAGGTTATATCCATGCTGGTCTTTGGTTGGAGAATCAGTCTCAGAAAAGACTCCTGTGCACATATATATTTGGTCCTTGTGGAGCTCATCACATTTTTTAATTAATTTGTTCATTTTACATTCTTATCTTATCCCTCCCTCGTCTCCTCCCTGTCTCACCCTTTGTCGTTCTTACCTCATATTCCTATAGCTAGTCCTCAGAAAGGAGGAGCCCTTTTCTCTTACCAACTGACCCCAGATGATCAAATCTCTTCAGGACTGCCTGCATCCTCTTCTTCTATCCTCAGTTGCTTTCCACCTGCTGATGATCCTCAGACCCATCTAGACATTTTAGAGAATATTTCTGTTGCTTTTTCAGAAATCTTCCTTAGCTGTGCATTCTGTGTTTCATAAAATGTGAGAAAAACTCGAGCAAAAGTGTGAAGAACATCATCTCTGAAGGTATTTCTAGCCTTGAATGTCAATAGTGTATACAATCTTTTGTATGAAAACTCTACTATATTATAATTCATAACTAAATAGTTGAAGTACTTTACACTTCTTAAACTTTCAATGTATGCATTGACTGTAATAAGAAATATCATAAATATCTTTATAATTATAATTATCAAAGAGTTTAAATGTTGCTCATTATGTAAATTCTAATGTACATAATATTTAATATAAATGAGGTTTTTTTTGTATGCTAACAAAAGATGCTCAATCAAGGTAACTGAGATGGTGCACTCACAGAGATTTTCATGGGCATTAAAATACTCCAAAGTACATTGACACTATGTTTCTGAAGAATTTTAAGGAGACTATAGAGCCTACAGTTGAGAGTTGAGATGAGCTCTTCATTTCCAGTTCAGGGAGCTTTGAACTTGCTCAGCTTCATGTGTATTAAATTTGTGCACAGCATTCACACCATATTCTCACTAACTTACTTACTAACCACAGATGCCATAGCTACACTGATTAGAACCATTTCTTCAGTGTTCTTCTAATTAGTAAAATCTCCTAAGTTTAGGAAAATCATGAATTTTACTGAAATGTAGAAAGTTATTCATTAGGCAGTCTTACATGAAAGACCAAGTTATATACAGAATTAGGTCGTGTCTTCACCTTAAAATTTGTGAGATAATTTTTAACAGCTGAAATATTATTTATGAAATTATTTCATTTTTCCTCCTTTGTTAGTGTCTGCATACATTTACCAATGTGGTTTAAATACACTATTTTAAAATACACACATTATACAAACACACATACAAACTCAAAGTCAAATTCTCTCTTCGTCTCTGTCTTTCTGTCTTTGTATCCATCTCTGTCTGTCTCTCTCTCTCTCACACACATACTCACACACTCTTCCCTCACACATGAAGCTAGTCCCTTTTTCAAAATCATGGGTACAATAAAAACAGGACCAAATATTCTTGTTTTGAATTTATGAGGCAGAGATTCCTCTGTAACATGCAAATTAGAACAAAATCACTTTTCCTGAAAATAGGGAATTAGTGTGGATTGCATTTCACTTCTTCCCTTGCAATTCATATGAGTTTATTACACTTGCATTTAACACAGACAGAAGAACTTTACACTCAATTTCTTCTTTACCATATAAAATATAGATGTTTAAAAAGGCTTCCTTTTTCCTTCAGGCACATTTATGTTAGAAATGCTGTAATCACAGAAAATATTCCTGTAACGAATTTTTAAAACACTAAGGCCCATTATGAGTAGTAAATTTGTGTAGGTTTAAAGATAACTCAGTGATTATTTTAAATTGGGTATCTAAAAGTGAAATTGTCGTTTTTGAAAAAAGGAATTCAGGTTGATCTGAGAAAGTATAAACAAGTGGATTAAAGGAATACTGCAGGATAAATATGTCAAAATACTTTCAGCTTCTGGGAGATAACAAGCCACCTATAAATCTTGGTATGGAATAGCTATACACAGTGCAGGGAAAAGGGGTTCTCAGTTGCCCAAAAAGAACAATTTAGGTAGGTCATCAAAATCTGGTATATCATAATGTTTTTTAAAATTATATTAACGATCATGGGTCCATGCCAGCAACAAATAAGTAAGAATGATAGAGAACAATATATTTTATTAAATATTTCTATATTTAGAAGTCAATATGATCTACTACTTGCTGTAAGTTAGAAAAGACAGGAGTGAGAGAAAGAGGGGAGAGAGAGAAAAAAGAGAGAGAGAAGTATTTACTCAGGGTCTAAGTGAAGAAAAAGCAAGTTTGTGGCAACAGACTAGAACATTCTATTAGTTTAATTCCAGTGTGTGAACATATGAAAAGTAAAAAGTTCCTCATTAACTTAGCTAATGTCCTTCTGAGGAAATAAACAAAAACGAATAAGAAAGATAAACAAAATATCAAGACCCTTATGAATTATAGTTTACAATTTAATACACTATTATTTATTTAGAAAAATAAGATTTAAATAAGGAAAAATTGGTTCCTACACAACCACTACATCTATAAAAATATTAAAATATGATTCACAAATGTGTAAGGTATGATTGCTGAAGGAAAATAAATAAATAAATCAGATGCTAATTTCATGTTACTCTATATGTGACTGATAAATTTTAGAGAGGGTGACACCCTTGAAACCAACACCACAATATCACAATCTATGCACTCTTTCCACAGATTCTTTCTTCTTGTGCCCCAGTACATATTAGGTCTACTACCTCCATAATTATTTGGTTGGCAGTGTTAAAGACCTTCCCATGTTATCAGTGGATCCTAAAATATACAAGTTTTGCCTAATTGAAAGGGTATTCTCTGAACAGTCTTTCCATTTCTTTTTTCCCCTCCCCTGACATCTACCCCATTCTCTTTCTATGTATCTGAATATACCTAAAAGTACATGCAGCCATATCAAATGGTATCATTGAGGTCCTTTCTACCTAAGTATGCAACAGGGGATATGGAGACTGAAGTGACCACTTCCTATAGCCAGGAGGAAGGAAGACATAAACCCACCCACAAAACCTTCGATCCTAAATTTACCCTGCCTAAAAGATGTGCAGGGATAAAGACAGAGCAGAGATTGAGGGAATGGTCAACTCATAAGTGACCCATGTTGAGACCTACCCCACAGGAGAGAGCAAATCCCTGACGCTATTAATGAGACTCTGATATTCTTGCAGACAAGAGCTTAACATAACAGTCCTCTGGGAGGACCCACCCAGAAGTGGATCTAAACAGATACTGAGGCCCATAGCCAAACATTAGGCAGAGCTTGAGAAGTCTTGTGGAAGAGAGGGCTGAAGGCTAGCGGGAGCTGGAGGGGACACAGAATCCATAAGACCAGCAGAGTCAACTAACCTTGGCCCATGGGGTATCACAGAGACTGAGCCACTCACCAAAGAGCATGCATGGTCTGGACCTAGGACCCCTACACTTACGTAGCTGATAGGCAGCTTGTTGTTCATGAGGGTCCCTTAGCAACTGGAGCAAGGGCTGTCTCTTACATGGAACCTGTTGCTTGCTTTTGGAATATGTTCCCCTATCTGAGTTGCTTTTGTTTGACTTCAGTGGAAGAGGATGCACTTAGTCCTGATGGGGCTTGATATGCCAGCATGGGTTGGGTGGGTTGGGGTGCTTCTTATTTTCTTAGGAGAAGAAAGAATAGAGAGGGGCAGGAGGTGGGAGCAAGAGGAAGGGGAACGATAATCAGAACGTAAAATGAATAACAAAATTAATAAGA